ACTTCCCTCGAAAATGTTTTTTTTTGTACGAACCATTTCCTATCTAACAAATGTTTTCTGTACAAAGACCGAACGTAGAAACGAAGGTAGAGTTGGCGGTAATATGGGTTGTTTCAATGAAAGCACGTGCAGTGTAATCCAGGAAGAAAATGCCATTCCATTTCTTATTCTCATTCACGAGTGTATTCAATTTTCTGACACCAAGACGAGATGAAAGGAGGAAAGGAGTTGAGTGAAGACTCAAGTCCTACACAGTCGATTTCCTTTCTTTCTCCCGTAAAAAGCTTATTGTGAAATTGTGTTTGCGGGTTTGCGGAGTGTAACGTCAGAGGTCCTTAGCACCCTCGTCCAAAGTTTTAATTCAATACCATATTTCCCAGACAAGGGACGCAACTTCACAAACTTGCAACCTGAACCTGCTGAAGGGATTTCGCGGGAGAGGCGGAGTCGCGGTGGAGTTAAGGCAGCGCCCTTCAAGGCGGAAAGTGAGTCGAGAAAACGAGGTGGGTTTCGCCCTAAATAATTTCGCTCCAAGGTAAGAATGTACAAAGTATAAGATCAAATTATATTACACCATTATATTTAAAATACACGAAGAGAAAAACATTGTACAATAAAACTTAATTCTTCGAGACATTATAGGAATATACACTGAATACCTATACAAATGTGAAATTGATATGGAGGGATGCAGAGTATGATTCTATAATACGTATTTATCCCTCTATTCCTTTACAGTTTCTTTTACTTTCTATTTCTCTTTCTCTTTACCGCACATCATCTTCATTAGCTCGGAATTAATTTTTCAGTATCTTTATCACATTCTGAAGCTATTTCACCGTTTTTTGCATCTATCACCTGCAGATGATTGTAATAATACACACAACCTAACACGGTAAATCATTTATCCAAGAGTATTACCAAAATATTCTAGTTTAAATGAAAAATTACAAAATGATAGGTCTAACATTTGGAAATTCTCAGCATTTAATCTCCGGATACCACAAAACGGAGAGAAAAGGTCACTACATTTTCAATACCGGCATTGGGTATTGCACGAATAATTTATTGTCATCTACATTGCTATCCCTATTCTTATTCAATTGAATAGAACCGCATCTTACGTTTAATCTATGTCATAATCTTCGGCGCTTTATCCGCGAACTCCGCCCGCGCCGTGATCAGTCAATAGGAGGCACTTCCAGTGCATTCAACCTTTCGCTGCGCGTTAAATCAGCCGCTTATTGATCTCGGGGCGGCCGGGCGGCCCCGCGCGGCGCCGTTCATTTAAATAAATTTCAAGCTCTGCGCTGCGCGAGCGAGTTAAATGCACCTCGAGGATTAGTGCTGAAAGAGCAGTTTTCACAGGAGGTTAGTATCGCGGTAATTCGCTATTAATTTTTGAGACCTGCGTGGGATCGTTTGGAGATATAGAAAAATAATTTTAGAAATTTGACACGAGAAAGAAGATTAGAATGTATAAAAGGTATATCGTTCGAGGTTGACACATTATGAATTGGTTAATCAACAACATTTATAAAAATAACATGTAATAATTTACTTGAAACCTGATGACAGTGAAGCGATTGCATCTCCTAATTTGTGGATACCAATCACACTTATTTTTCTTTAAACAATTTATTTGTACCAACGTAGATTACAGCATTTGTACTATGTCAGAGTTAGAATTTTACAAAATACCAAAGAAGAACCAAGCGTCTAGACTGATATAATAATAAACATTGAGCAAACATTCAGTTTTTAATTTCCCACCTTAATAATAAAGTAATAAAGAGAAAGTACTGAAATCGTATCGCTAGAAAACCTAAAAAAATTTAAAATGGCAAAAGATCAACATTTTTTGGCTTCTTTCTACGACTACAATAATGAGGATACATATTTTTCTCTGAATGAAATTTATGGTTTAAAAATAGAACTTGGAAGAAAATAATATACTTATCGAATACACAAGTTTAAAAAATATGCTTAATTTTGCATGAAATAGGGATAACTGGGTATAACTTGAATGATCATAACTCATGAACCGTTAAACATTTTGGGATTATTCCTTTTGAAAATCGATTCTTTGATTATATTCTAATGCCAAAAACTAAATTTGAACATTCATAAGGGAGTTATATGTTCTTTGCAGGGGTTTGAATTAGGACTTTAAAAAATCACGGGTAACAATAAAAAATTAACAGAGTAATTTATTATTGATATAATTATGTATTTTTCTATAACAATTTCAGATTTAGGCACAAGAATTGTATTTATGCTACTGAATAAAATATGAATCATAAGGTTATCTTTAAAATTAAAAGAGTTGTAATGTTTTGAATTGGCCTAAACAAGAAAAAAGTAACTTGAGGGAAAAGCCAGATGAAGATTAATTAGCTCTAAAGTGATGTTCTGTGAACAGTAGTTCCCTAACTATAAGAAATAATTTGCCCAAAAGAATATTTTGCTTTAGATATGACGACATAGGGACTTTATATTAGTTTAAATGACATTTTTAAAATTTATCACGATATAATCTTAATTAATCTTTCATTTTTTGCGATCATGCAGTTTCAACTTCAAATACCCGTGAGACGCGGCATATGCGCGCGCACATTAGGAAAAGTACAAATAAATAAAAAAATAACAAACTTAAAATCAAACGGTTTTAAGCATTGAAAAGTACACATGTCAATGCAGGGCAAACAATGAAAATCAAAAGTATATTTTGCACGGAAAACATTATTTTAAGGTAGACGCGTACCGTAATAATGAGTTCTTTTAAATATGATATTTATTGAGTTTTTTCGACGAGCGTGAAATCAATTTGAAAAAAAAATTACCATTATAATCATTTGACACAACCTAGGAATTTATTATTTTTTACTTCCTAATACTTCAGAAATTTTTATTGTTATGAACAGTTAATGAAGTCGAAGCGAAAATTAAAAACAAAACCTAATTGGATGATGAAGAAAACTTTCACCTTATAAAGGCAAAGTTTGGAAGAAGAATTTAACGCAAGTTGGAATCTCTTTTTATACAACGAACTAGAACTCTGAATGAAATAATTTTATAACGAAAGAAAACTACCAGCGTGAGTAAATAGCTGCGAAATCAACACTATATTAACTAATAATCAATTTTTACTGAACTACTGGCGCATATACACACAAAAAGTGGACATTTATTTAAAAAGCTTTGCGGATTGACTACGTAATATGATTACAAAGAGGCCAACGTTTTATTTCAAGAAACTTCATTAAAATCCTAATGTGAAGTGACAAGTGAGTGAGCCTGTTGCTACCAATAAATATCAATAATTTATATGTACTCTTTGAAAAACAAAAAAAAAATTATATAAATGGTCAGAACAAGGCAATAAACATTTAATAAAAGTGAGGGTGAGGTAAGAGGAAGGGCGAATGAGAGTTTGAGCGAAAGGGAGAGAACAAGGACAAGGTTAAGGGTGGGTCTATGTGCAAGGGTAAGGTACGGGTAAAGGCACTGTAAAGGGTGGCGCTATGGGTAAGGGTAAGATAGGGTAAATGTACGAGTAAGGGTAAGGGCTAAGGCAAGTGAAATTCCAAGGGCAATGTTATGGGTAAGGGTATGTCAAGGGTAAGAGCTAGGGTAAGGGCAAAGGAAAAGATAGGATCATGGTTAAGGGTGGGGTCACAAGTGAGGGTAGGGGTAAGGGCAAAGGCAAGGTAAGTGCAATGGAAAAGTTATGGGTCAGAGTAAGGGCACGGATAAGGGTATAGGCAATGACAAGTGCCAGGGGTAAGGGTATGGGTGAGGATAATGGCGAGGTCAAAGAGAAGGGTGACAGTGGGATCGAAGGGAAGGGGCAGGTGAGGGGGAAGGCGGGCGCGGGGGGGGTGAGAAGACGAGGGCGAGGGAAGGTAGAAAACGAAGAGCATCATTTTACGCAAGACTGGAGGCGAGGATATCTCCTCATAATATTCCGCCGCGTCTCCACTTAGTCGCCCGTTATCTTGCGGCGGAAGAGGTCTTCTCGCGTCTTTTCCGCTGAGATGTGACGGCGCTTCCAGGAAAGCAGGTGGCGGAGGCATAGTCATTAAAGGTAGTGAAAGGAGACACACCTACCGGTTTATACTCCATATCACATGAGGGTCACAGCTCGCAAATAATGTTTTACATTGGATAGCATCACAACACATTTAATTAATGACATTGTTTTCAATAGTGTACTAACTAATTGTACACCTCAAGAGGCATCAAAGTTTCCACATTTATAACCAAAAAAGTAACGTGTTTGTTTCTCAGCTAATCAACGGATTTATTTTTTATTTTCCCGCCAAATAAAGATTGTATGTACATTATCTTGCGGAACGCATGGAGAAATAGTGCGCCGATGTGAACAATACGACTTCTTTTATCATCGCCGCAACTCACCGCACATTACAATTGGAGTGCTCACGGATGGTCGACGTGTGTAGACTACAGATGAGTGCTCATTTTCAAACGCGTGCAACGTTTTGCAAACGTGTTTTCGCATCACCTAGTTTCCATTTAAAACTAGGAGATGATGATTTGTTTACCTTAGCATAGAAAAAAAATTGTGGACCCTTCCCTTGAGTGTATACAATGGACCAAATAGAATTTTAATAAAACATTTTCTTGGCTAACGCTTTCAGGTTGCCGAAAATAATGAAGAAACCACAACCCTCTGACAGGAGCATCCTGAAACTGTATTACATTCCGATGGAATTGAAGCCTCGTTCACCTAACGAACCAGGCGTTGGGACTTATTTGGTAATTAAGTAGGATCAGTGTTCGTATGCATGTATGTATCATTATTTAGAAGCAAAAACCGTGTAAGGCTCCTTCAGTAATTCACGTGTTACTTTCTACATCGCACAAAATATGCAAGAGAAAACAAACCCTGTAAATATTTATAGTCTTAATAGTTGAATATAATTGTTAGTTTCGTAAATAGTTTTGTTTAGACACTAGTACTATATGTTATTACTCACCAATAGATGTTAGGCCCGGATAGAGTACAGTTGATAAATATGCACGTTCAGGAAAACCTGAAATACGGATTGTTTTATAAAAACATACACAGAACTCAAACATAAAAACTATTTTATTGTAACATGGTAACTTGTAAAATATTTGATATTTGGCATTACAAATATTTGATGTGTTCGTAAACGTGTTTAAAAAATGTTCAGCACGAACACAATTTCTAAACAAAAATAATTGAAAATTCTCACATGAACACATAAAGAATTCATACGTTTAAAAAAATTATGAGCTTAGAATTATCTACGAACTTCAAGAGTGCTTACATTTAAGCTGTAAAATGTTCGACATACTAAAACGTGCTGTGAAAATCTTATTTTACTGAATCAACATTTAATATAATTAGCCATCTGAAAAGTTACGATCGAATAATCCCTTTTTCAGTAGAAAATTCAGAAAAAAATATTTTCAAGACGCGTACCTGTACTACTAATGCCCGATTTGCGAAGAAATTGAAGAAACTATATTGCAATTTCTAGCCATGTGAGACGTGTCTATTTTTCTTATATAACCAGGAACTTGAGAAAAATCCGAAAACGATTTACAAAATTCCGATTTTGACTAAAAATGAAAATATTTTATTGTGTTACTCCGCCTATTCTCATACTGCACATATCGACTGAATCCTCACACTCGGCGCGTCACTGCTTATGACGCAGCTGTCATGTGACAGATGGCTCCAAAGGAGAGGCCACCCGCCATGAAATATTTGCTATTCACGTGATACGCTGAGGAACACTAATTTTTTGATATTCTTGGTCCTGCAACCTCCACTTCCTCATACTCCCAACTACCCGTTGGTGACCTGTCTCGGTTTCCGGAAAAAGAGTCGCGTCATTTGGACGGTGGCCACTACACATTACGCAGCCCGGATGTTTACAGTATTTCAGTTTAGTATGCTCCTGTTTGCTAGACATCATCCATCAATAAAATATAAAAACGAAACTATATAAAATCTGGATGTGGATTACAGAATGAAAAACTCTGTAATGACTCATTTATAATTGAGTGCTATATTTTGTCTGATAATTATCAGACCAAACTTCACTTATTGTCTGTTAAATATTCATAAATTAAACTTGAGACACGAATACACTACTTTTGACAGTAAGAAACGTTGTATTTAATTCTGTAAAAGACAGGCTAATCTTGTACAACAATATCAACACTCGTAAAATTAATAATTTAACATTATTAACGATTAACCTGTTGGAATATTGTGGGCCTTAATACAATGTAACTATCCTGATTTAAATACTGTGATTTTCTCGAGCTGTTTTATCGTTTAATAACGGTTTTTATTAACCTTTCATTTATTGAACCTCAATAGCTGTTCAAAAGTTGTGTGACGCATTATGGCGAGACGACTATTTTACGCAACTTTTTTTTGAGTTCTGACACCCCAGCTCTATATCATAAATGTTCAAGGTGAATGATGAAAATAGGAAAAACGAGCGTTTTGGACAAGAATTGATAACATAATATTCCCTCCTGTGTAATAAAAATCTATTTTCAATGGAAAATCAGCTTCAGATTTTGGATTTCTCCCTCATCGAGCACATCGTGCAGAAATCGGCGTTCGGTCGGTTTCACCAAATACTTTTTAAGAATGACTTACTGAAATCATACTTAATTTTAAGACGCGTGTTAAGCCGTGCTTTGTAGTTCGTCGTTTCACCACTCTCTTTGAAGAAATGCTTGGTTGAAGTATAACTTAAATGCATCCAAGAGTTGGTTGACAATGCTGGACACTGGTGAACTAGACAGTAACCATAACCTACCTTCTTTGTTTTGGTTCTGCTTTGAACTCAGGTGTAAAGAGGTTATTTTTTAGTAATATTTCGTAATGGGAAAAGGAAGGAAATTTGCGAAATTTTCATCGTCGGGGAAATAAGTGCTCATCGAATGTATGAGATATATTTTCTATAATAGAAATGTACTAAGTTAAAATGGAACAACAAACCAAAAAAAATTATAACTGTGCAAACACTGAACCTAATTTTAAAGCAACAAGCTACAAGATAAAATATAACAACCAATAAATAAAGTTTTGGGTAGGATTAGGTTTAGGTGAAAAAGGCAATGAAATAAAAATTACTGAAAGTCAAACTTGGAAGTTGAAAGTAGGTTCAGAACCATGTAAAAATAACCTACAAAACATTTGTTAGACAAAATTGTTACCTGCAAGGCAATTATGAACCAAAATATTAAAATGTTCACTTCGTTAATAATTACACGAGCACACACAAAAAGGTTGTCAGACCCAAACACTTGACACCTGTTTTGCTATGTATTTTGGCGTGCTGAATCCGAATTTGAAGCCAGAATTGCGCCATCACCCTCCATTTTATTTAATCGCGAAAACACTCCGTGAAATTGTGTTTTTTTCACTTTGGAGATTGTTGTCATACCCGAAAATTTGTCACATGCTTTTCTATGTATATCGACGCGCTGAATCTGAATCTGAAGACAGAATTGAGCCACCTCCTTCCATTTTTTAAATCTCGAAAAAACACCGTACAATTGTAGGAAGTAAATTTGAGGGTGTTTTTTTACGATTAAAAAAAGGAACTATTATGGTTTCGGTGCGTTCACATACATAGAGAATATGTGTCTAGTCTTCGATTCTAATTACAACTCCCGAAAACAAAAAAAATCACGATGGTTTTTCGCGAATAAAAAAACAGGAGAGTAGTGGAGCAATTCTTTTTTTCAGATTCAGATTCAGCGCATCGATGTTCGTGAAGAAACATTTCGTCTTCAGTCATTGGTCTCACAACCCCGGAATACAAAACAAAAATACAGTTTCACGGAGGTTTTTTGCGATCATCTAATATTATACTACTGCCTTCCTTTTTATTGCAAATAATATTCGTATCGTCAGCAAGAAACTGCTCTTCCGTTTCGAATCGGCAAGGGCACATCGTTTCGCGTACAATTTCTTTGTTCTAGAAGTTCTTTGGTTCTTACTGCAGTACATGATAGTGTGTTGTTCTGAGATCACTTTAACGTGGACATGAAAGGCAGCAGCTCGGGTACTCCACGGATTCGTCTTGTGTTTATGTTCACGTATACGTTTACGTGCACCTTTGTAAATCGCTCCATCAAATAATTGCGCATTAAGCTTTTACTGCTACGTTTCAGTTTCATTGCGAATGAACCTTTGAATGAAGGTCGTTGGCGTCTGGAGTGGGGAGAAGGGGCACGTGACCCGTCGTGTGAGAGGCGGTGGCGACTGCGTCCGAGGAGTGTCTCTTTTCGGCTGGTCTTATGACCACTGCTCCGGAGGTTAGGGCTTGGGGTATGTACAGTCGTATGCTGGATTGATTATGATGTAGGCCGTAAAACTCGAAGAGAATTCGGAGTTGGCCGGAGATGGCTGACGCATCACCAAAACCTTATGAAGATGATTTCTGATCACCTTCACACTCTCTACTCACCCACTTACAAATTTAAATTAAAAATATATATTAATCCTTTAAATAATTACATAAACAGTTTAAATAAACATGATATTAACTTTTCCAAATATATGTTTTTTGTTTAATGTTTTATTGCACATTGAATTTGCAAATGATAAGAACTTTTATTTGTATTTATTGTAGAAGTAAGGAAGGAATTAAAACAGTCTCCGTAATATGTATGCTTCATTTATTTTATTCACCGTGTCTATTATTCACGATAAAACCTTAAAAGGTGGCATATGTTTGAATTCTCAAAGGAAAGTTTAGGAATAACCAAATGAACCTTTTAAACTACTTGTTTTTTGAACATATTTTATTGAAGAAAACATGTTTGGAGACCAATCAAAAGCATAGAGCTTGTCCCGGCTGGGCCGGTGCCTTTTTAAAAACTTGAGTCTGTAATGAGCACTCAATATTTTACCCTGGGGATGTGTTTACAACACTTGAAGTTAAAAAATACCAGTTGATGTGACATTTTTGGAATGCCAGTATTTAGTAAGTCTTTTGAAACTTATTCTTTATATACAAAAGAAGAAGAAAATAATCTTTATTCTATTCATCGCCCCGCAAAGACGAGCTTTACGTTATGCACGTTTGAGCTGCGTAGGATGTCTCCATTTCTTATTTTTCTAATTATGTAATGGCAATATCCACTAATTGAGTGATTTTGCGTCATTTGTTGCTGACACATTTGTAGGTCAGCAAACAGTCTCCATGTTCTTGTCGCTGGTTCCCTTCTTGAAGGCCAATACAAGATGCGCCCTACAGCCCATTCTGCCCTACCCCGTCACACCTCTTCCACTCTTCACGCGACATTAAAACAGCCCCCCAGCGATGTTTTTATCCCTTCTCATTTTGAGGCCAGGCCATTAACCGCTTGAAACGCCTCCGGACACGGCAACTCGTCCGTAGAGGCCCTGCGAAGAAGACGAGACACGAAGATATTCTCAAACAACATTTGAAATGGATCTTACAAGCAGTTAAACGACTTAACTGTGCGCTGGGGAGTTTGCAAATTATACTTTTTGAGAAGTTTTAAGTCTTGGAGTTATGGGTGAGATAATAAAGGTGAACTATATATATTTAACATAGTTTAGCCGAGTGTTTGCGAAATTTCTTTGTCCGAATGAAAATGAGTCTCACATTTTTAACGTGTTTCATAGAGAACTTTTTTCTAAAATCCCACAGCATTTTTATCCCAACTGGCAAAATATTAATAATGTATTTGGCACATTTCATACAGACATATAGTATCTATTACGTTATATAGTATTAAGGAATAATGTTCATTATTAAAATAGTATTTCTAATTAAATGTAAATGGAATATTTTTCAAAAGCTCTAACCGTGCTTAAAATGAACAGTATATAGATTCAACTACAGCAGTTGAAAACAGTTCTAAACCGTTCAAACGTTTTTATGACCTGTCGACGAGATCTCACCGTGTCGCAACCGTCCAACTGTGCTCGCAGCACTATTGGTAGGAAAGAGCCAGTGAGACTTCTTGGCTGTCAGGGTGACGCCGCGTCGTTGGCTGAG